TATTAGCACGATCTTGGACCTCGCCAGAATCTTCCCAGTGAGTGTCTGTGCCTCGGGCAGATGGTCATTCCCTCTAGCTGAATTCTCGACAAATGCTGAATTCCCTTTCTCGCCATGATTAACTTGGCTTCTGTAACTTCACTGCATTTTGACAAGTGGCAGCTAGCCAAATGGGCGGATATATCTGCGTTACACTCAGAGAGCAAAACATGCTCTACTTCCTCCCTACTAGAACCGCACGGACTTTGAAGTATTTCGTAAAGAGAACAATTTGGGGGAACAGCAGACATTTTTAGCGCTAGCAAAGAAAACGTCCTAGGAAACACTGTCTCGGATTTGTCTGAAAATCCTGCCAAAAAATCTTTTTGTTCCCGACAGATTTTAATTGAATTAGGAAGAAATAAACAAGTTTGCCAGATATTCTTTCACAAAAAAATAGAAATGCCACACAGAAAAGTTGAAAAGTTTTTACTCTAATAAGCTTTAACCAAAAACATTTCGTGTCTTTGTGAAGAGATGTACTTTTAAAGAAAGGAAATGTAGCTGCCGTCGAATTTCTTTATCAAAATAATCAGTAATTAAACACACGACTCTTTTTTGGCGCCTCGTAGAAAATGAAAACGGCATAAAAATATACTACAAAATTTTGTCATGAAATACTGAAAAAATTCCTACAATACAAAACAAAAACAAAAAAAAAAACCACAACTCTTTGTCATCAAGAAAACGCCAACACAAAATGTGTCCTGGACTACACATTACATAATTTTCTGTAGCTAATTTGCATACGGTAATTTATTAACCGCAAGAAAGCTCTCCATCCTTGTTTGTTCTTCAGCACACCTTTATCTCAAAACAACGGTGTAAACGTGATATAATACTTATTTCTAATGTAAAAATGTACAAACCAAGCTCTCATTATTTATTACTTGATTTTAAGGTGGTTCTCCGTCCTGATATTGATAAACTGTCGGACCGTGTTTTATCGAGATAAAAACATTTGATCGAAAAGAACAACTTTATTTATCAAAACGAACTGGATTCCGTTAGCGCATTGTGTTCAAAGAAAATGGCTCTTGAAATTTTACGTAATGCATTCAAGAAAGGATACAACTATTGAGTTTCCACATTCTTAAAAACACTTCTTTAAATGGCTAAATATTGCTACGGAAACTGTTTGATACTCCATCAGATAATTGTTCCTGCACCTTTAAGTGTTTTAGGGCTGTTAAGCTTTACAAACCTCTCTGCTGGTCGGACTGCGTTATCGTTGGTTTCGATCAAGACGGCGAATATTTATTAAATTCACAAAGCTCTTTACGGCGCAGGATGAGGAGTGCCCAAAAGTTTTATTCTATATTTAACTTGCTCTATCTAAGTACTTTTAAGCTGCAATAGACTTAACTCTAGATCAGGTCCCATATAAGAGAAAATAGCTTTCAACCGCATGTACCTCACTCCACAAATTTTAATGCTCACGAAAGTTTCATAACTCGGTAAAGTTTCATAACTCGGTAAAAATTTTACAGAATGCAATCGTTTTACCTTTGAAGTATTGAAATAAAGCCATTCTTAAATATGTAAAATAATCAGCTTTCTAGATTGGGAAATAAGGATTTGGTAACGCTCGATATTTATAGCTTAATCATAGGGGTCACAGAGGACAAATTGAGCAGTTTTGGGGTGACCTCTAAAATTGTCTCGTAAAAAATAAAAAAATAAAATTGATTAAAAAAAATGTGATATTTGTACATGGGATAGAATTGTTGACTCTCACTGAAAAACTTAGGGAAATCGGTGCAGGACCGAAATTTTCCTTATCCGTTCTTACGCGGACAGCCTCTTAAGACCTTGACGTCCATTATTTTCCAAACAGAGTATTCTATAGCATTGCTACTTTATATTCAGAGTTCCACTAGGTCTAACTCGATCGTAAAGGAACGAAAAATCCGACTTAAAAATCTTGAAGGTCGGCCGTTTCATTTTCAAATATTTGATCATTTAGAGTGAACGCATCGAATGATGCCCCTCTAGTACCCCCTAAAGCCATCAAAATATTTTTGCAAACGAAGGATTCTGATTGGTTTGTTGATCTCCTAACGATAGAAGAAGTTTGGGGACAAAATTCTGCTTAGTAAGGGAGGTAGTGGCAGTTACGGGTGGTTCAGGTGTCAATGTGTTAGCATATATTTATACTAATAATATATTTGTTTCGTTCATCGCGGAGCTTGCATTTTTGGTTGCACTATATCTTGAGTTGTGAGTAATTTCTAGTGTCGTTTCAGGGCGGTTAAATATGGTATTCTAAGTAATAACAAGTGCAGTAAGCTATATGCAGTCATCGACTGCCTATTTTTTGTGAAGTTTACAGTACGTGTCAAGCTACATGAGGTAAGCGATCATCGCGTAACACAAATTTTACGAGAATGCGCAAACAGTGAAGTGGCGTAACCACTTGGATATTTAGTCATGAGATCTGTCGTGTTAAGTCGGAAATCCTTATTTGGTGAGCAAAACTCCGGAGGCAAACAAAGGAATATTCGGAATCGAAGAAGCAAAAGTTGTAGAAGACAATGTGCTTTGTCAACTGTCGCGTTTTAAGGGGGGACTGAGGTGGCGAGGAAAGTTTATTTTGGCGAGTAAACCAGACTTTTCTAAGATACTCATACCTGTTCTCACCTTTATAATTGATCTTTTGTAGTTTGTTAATAGTCACTTTGCTGTTAATCGAAACGTGGTCAGCGCCGGCCATAAGGTAAGTATAGAGTTAACATATTTTACGACTTAATTTTCTGCACGAGGATCCACCCCCAATTACCAAGACATTGTATAGTTTTGTATTTTCCTTTCGTTTTAACTTTTAGATTATCTGAAGTCGTTTAATCTTAATTTCATTTTGTAAGACTTTTATTGGAACGCCCCAAATATGCGCGAAAAGTCGTCGCAAATTGTACCTAAAATGTATCTATCTTTGTATTATAGAACTAAATATTTGATGGAAATTCACATGTTGAAATCTGTGCGATTTATTCATATCAAAATGGGGTGACCGCCTAATAGAGCTGAAAAGGACACAAAGGGGCAAACGAAACTTTCGGGACTTTGAAAACCGACCACTTAATACGGGGTGACCGCTTAATACGGTGCTGCTTAATACAGTTCGACTGCACGTTTTTGTCAGTTATCCACCAACAAGCAGAACTCTTGTTGCGGTGGTTCCCTGTACAAGACTGCTTTTACTTAAATCTGACATCTGTAATTCATAACCTTTTTATTATCTGATGAGCCAGAGGTAAAAGAGGGAGGCTTAAAATGAGTTATCACAGGCTATATTCACAAACTGTTTTATCGTTCAAATCCAACAGGAATTAAGATAGAACTGTAAAAGCTGTGCCTTTTGCTTCATATCAGTCAGAAAGAAACGAACAGGGTTGCTAAGCGGGATATAACTTTATGATAATAATTAATATCGAACATACCACAAAATTCGTAATAAAAATATTAAAATTTACTGTTTATACTTTATAGAGAGAAGTTAATAAAAGTTGATCACATCGCGTGATGAAGGCTGTGTCTTCGATTTGCATTAGAAGTGACTACATCATGAGGGCATAATTAGTTGCGAAACGTTTTACTATGAGACAGTGGCGGTTATAGTTTACTGGAAAGGACTAAAGGCGAGAATGTTTCCCAGGTAAAAGAATATGATGCTTTTTAGGAACTGCTCGATGTTATTGTCTTCAGCTTTGAAAATTATGGAGACACTGGCTCGCTGAGATCACCGGCTCAAAATTCAATTCAATAAGAAGTCAACCGATGTAAGCTGGTGCCAGCGCTTCTCGGGTTGTGTACGTGATGAAAGGATGAAATAGATGTCCAGGTTTGCTTCTGTATGGCCGTGGGCGGGCATTTATTTAGTACCACAAAAAATAGGGGACACGTACACCAAGATTTATTGATGTTTACAAAAAAAAACAGGAAAAGTGAATAAAAATTTGATTTAAAAAATTTCTCAGTATAACAGCGTCTTCATGGCTCTTTACAAAAAAACAGGAAAAATGAATAAAAACTTGATTTAAAACATTTCTATAACAGCATCTTCATGGCTCTTTAATGCTGGAAATACAGGTTGTTACCGATTTTATCTTCGGAGAATGTTACCAGTCGCAACCCGTGACTCGCGACTACTGGTCAAACTCACGACACGTTATTGGTGATAGCATGAAACACATTTACTCTTCGAAACAACATCTCTCTTGGTTTGGACTTGGATATTAGTTGAGAGAGAAACGAAAAACAGACGGGCTAAAAAATTGGCAAGCAACTTGGCGCATGTCGGTTGCGGTTAACCATGGTTGTTAGGGATACAGCAATAGAAAGAGAGCGCTCTTTCGCATGCCATTTTTTGCACACTCTATTCTTTTTCCCGTGGAAAAATTTTTCGCTCTCCTGTTCGTCTCCACCAACTGAATGCCTGGAACTTGACGAAAAAAGGATAATAAAGGGCAAAAATAACAAATAAAAAAAGAAAAAAGAGGAAAAAGGAACAAAAAAGGAAATAAAAGAAATAATTATAAAAGAGGTACTACCTCAAAGTTTCAACCCTTTCAACTTATTTTTTCTTGTGTTAATCGACCTAGAAATTTTGTTTTTGAAAAGCTGCCTTAAAGTTAACGGCCCGGCTGTATTTTCTATTCATATTAATTAATATTTTCATACGTCTTACAGGATCTCAGGGTAACTTATTTCCCAGAGCGGAAAGATATTTCTTCACGCGGCAAATTAGTAACGCAAACTTGCAAAATGATAAGAGAAATTTTAAGAACGGAAACAACATTTCTATAACATTTAGGAAGTTTCACAGTGAAAAAGAAGGGTGCTTAACACTTAGTGCCATCATTTTTACGGTTGTTTTGAACTTTAAAATTAAACTTAATGAAACAAGCCTAAAACTAACTAAATACGATTAAAATTTCAACTTCAGTAGAGCATTACGCATTTTAATTTAAGCAAGAAGGCTGAACTATCTGCACTGAGCCCATTCGGTGATATTTGAAGTCGCTCCACTGAAACAAATTTCCCGTCCCTGTCAAGCACGACTTGGACATGCGCCTGATTTCTTCGTCTGAAATCACGTGATTCCAGATATTGACATCTGCCATTTCACCAATGAAACTTTGATATTCTTGAAAGCCACCTCCCAATTTGTCTTGATCCTGTCCAAGTACAAGGTGTCCACCTCCGCGGATCAATCGGCCTGTAATTAAGAGCAAGAATATGTCTCCATTCCTTCGCTAGTCGTGCTTTTAAACCAATTCGTGGAAAAGTATTTATTGTTTTTTTGTTGTTGTTAGCTTTTTTAAAGGTGTTTTAGTAATACAAGAGCAAACGATTTAAATAAAGTTGTAGTAAGCAAAATGTTTAATCTGCAAATTTTCACATTTTTTTTGAAAATACTCGACTTGCCTGACGGCAAAATTTTGTGAATTAGTTTGATGTTCGATATTTTCTGAGTACAAATTACCTTTTGCTAATCCTCTACCACTAGCCCCCAATGAACCATCCTTGAATAATTTCCACGATCCAGCGGTATTCTCCCATGCGAAGCAGATGTGATGCCACTTTCCATCGTTGGCAGATACATTGGTGGGACTACTATAATGAACATTGAAAGGATTCAAAGTCTTTCCTTAATAATCCATTTTAAAAAGGTTGAATGATCGATAAAGTAGTTGAAGATTATTGGTGTGATAGATTTTGAGTCTGGTGCGATAATTATTGAACCTGTATCCCTCTTCTATCTCTTTCTGTTCGTAGAGAGGTGAAATGCTAAAATATCATCAAGCTCTGTCTGCAAGGCACTTGATGCCAATTTCATGAGATGTTTTATTGTTGACTTCCCATGATTCTAAAACTTTCGGGTTGCTGGTGATGCGTCTTCATATCAAGATATGGATAAATTTGAGAAAGAAAAACGCACAACGCCGAGTTTTTTTAAGTCAAACATCGGCTTTGTCCAATAGTACTGTATTTTATGGATAATAAGTTTAAGGAAATAACATTCAGGGCTCCGCTATTAGGATTAGCTAAATATGGTTCACTAAATAGCTATGACAACATTTACTATTGCAGATTCATGATCTAAATAATACAAGGCGGGCTCTGCACATCATGTGCAGTTTATCGTTCCTATTCCTCAATGAAAGTGTATTCTCGTACCTCCAAACTGATCGTAAGCTGAACACAAAATCTCTGGGCCTTAATAAGAGCAGTTCGTTATCTTCTCCACTCACAGCATAGCTAAGAAGTGTTCCTCTATTTCCTGTAGCATTAGTCTTTATCCACATACAAACTGTCACAGCTTTAAGGCTTGGCATTCTATGCGTGATGATTACGTAATCATTTTCACTCTTATATGGAAATAACAAAGAGTAGTTTGGGCTGACTGAAATCAAACGAAAGGATATTTAGTGAGGAAATGGAGTTTTTAGAAGTTATAATCATCGTAACGGAATGTTCTACCCACGAGAAAAGTCTAGAACTCATCTTAGCAAGAATGACTGGTAACTTATATCTCAGAATCAAGAATATTCCCTGTTACATACAACATCCCGAGTGATTTTAAGACTTCAACGACGCTTCTATTAAGTGATGAAACACCCACAAATTGCATACACGATCTACAACACGACTCGTACTTACTCAGTGACCCTGCAATACGTAACGGATATGTTCGGAAGCATCCCCACAACGTCCGAAAAACCAACAAATTGATTATTACGTTTCGAAATTGACTGACTAAAGTTAGATACACACAAACGAGATTAGGGATTCCGGATTCCAGAGGTTTGCAGGTACATCAACGGAAAACTGACTTAACATAAACGAGCGATGATGTAAAAAAATCAAATGCCGGAACATCATCAATCTACAAACCACACTATTGACTGGGACTTTGCTCAATGCTTCATCTGCAGCACTAACTACTTTCAATGACATACTTCGTCTCCGATTGTCATTAAGGCTAATAACAATTTTTTCAGGACTAACCTTACCCGAAAGACACTCTAAATAATTATGGAGTGAAACTCTTACTAAATTCACAAGTTGGCTGCACTCCCGTCCATGAACCGTTGACCAGGTAGAGACGCTCTGAGGGTCCATTCAACCAGTGACCACAGTTACAACTGAATGAAATAGACTCCCCCGTGCAGTTTTTCTGACTGTGTGAAAAACCATTCTTCAGGTTTTTCAACAAAGGACAAATTTTCCTGACTGATAGATAGATACATGTAAATACACAGACTCATGAATATAAATATGTCAATATAGATTAATAAAGAAAAACATAAATCTCTTGAAAAATGTTATAAAGTTTCTCATCTCTGATTGTACCATGATTATTTTTACATCATAATAGTTGATTGGCTAGCTAGGGTGATGCGAGTTTGCAAAGGGCGGTAAAGCAAAATCAAGCAATCCTACATTACTTACAACACGAAAGTGAAAATTATTTTAAAGATGCATACTTTGCATGACCGATGCCTTTATCGTTTCAGATGTGTTCTTAAATTGCAAAGAGAGCTCTTCGATTGACTTAATCACGAAATCCAGTTTCCTTACGACACTTTTGTTAAACGAGTGAGGACTTGTGTACCACGCCTCGATTGTTTTGTGAATTGGAGCCAGTCTTCCGGAAGAAATTGAAAGACATAGACAAAGATCTTAAAATCTTTCAATAATAAATGCGTGAGACAAAAAAACATATTGGTTCATGGTGTGATTTCGAAATGTCAAAAAAGAAAGTTTTTCAAACAAATTTCGATTCTTACGGACTGAATCAAAATGAATTTCACAGAGAGATTACCGCTGTTTCCGAGTACTATTTCCAAGTTACGCTGCCCTGCGTGATTGTAATTTTCACATAATTTACAAAGTGGTTTTAAAGGTTATCTGCGTAAGGAAAAAATATCTGAGATTTCCCAAACACTGGGATTTTGACATGCAAGTATATTTAAATGAAATTAAATCGAACTGTCAAATAAATATTTTACACTTTTGAAAGTCTACTTTCAGGACATAATATTGAATTTCTCGAGAGGTTCCCCACGTGTGTTGATAGAGTGTTTGTCTGGAGTACATTCAAAGAAGTGAAGCCAAAGATCACCAAGCCACTCGCAAGCAAGGGTTGGATGCGATCGGATTGTGTTACATTACATCCTTGAACATGCGTTAGATGCGTAATGTCCACTTGCGTATTGGTAAAATTTTTGCTCTTGAAATTGGCGTTTCACATCGTTTTTACGCGGCCTTACGCGGCAACCGCCAGCCATTCTTCGTGGCTGACCTCTTGATGCAGGTTTAACTGTGTAGGAAAATGATGTCATAAGGGAGGATTGGTGACTCAACGTCAACAGCCACAAGTAGGAGAAATGTTCATCATTGAGTCAGACTTGTTTTCTGTTTTGCATCTCCTTGGTTGAGAGAGAGGCCCAAGTTTCCTTCATAGATCAATCATTAGCCGCATTAAAGCAAAAGCAATACAACCCAAGTTGAAAATCAATGTAAATATACATACCTTTCATTTCCAAAGCAGTCGTCCTTTCAGACATGTTCTTAACATTCACGTTTACTAAATCCAATTTTCGTTCGATATTTGCGTCCAGGGAGTCGAAGCGTTTGGACAAAGCTTCAATGGCTTTGAACATTGAGTCCTGGTTATCTGTAAGCAATCGCGACAAAATAAAAGCTAAAATGGCTGATAACACACGTAGGTGGTGCAAAGAAAATTTATGGCACGTTGTGAACATTCGAGCTGCAGCCCAGATCCCCTACCAAATGAAATTCAACCATCGAACCTTTTAGAAAAGGCTTCCGATGGTTTTGTTCATTGTCTTCAGTTTCTTCAAGGACCTTAAGATGAGCAGTGGAAAAAGAGGCCCAATGCACTCGCATATATGCGACTTAAAATGCATACCTTGCATTTCCAAAGCAGTTGTCCTCTGAGATGCGTTCTTAACATGGACATTTACTAAATCCAGTTTTCTTCCGATATTTACGTCCAGTGAGTCAAGACGTTTGGACAATGCTTCAAAGGCTTTGTACATTGAGTCCATCTTTTCTGTAGACAATCATGACAAATAGAAAAGGATTTTTAACGCAAGCGATAACCCATTTAAGTGCCAAGGACAAAGGACAAACTGGGTTTCCTGGTGAGGATTCTAACCCCTCCTATTACGGCCCAAATGCTCCAGCAGCTGTAATGCAAACATTAAAGCTCTCTAAATTTTTTTTTGTTTAAATCATCAAGTTTTCAAAACAGGTTAACACATTTGACCTAAAACTGACTCTTTTAAAACAAGGAAGGCTGGTTTATCAACTTAGAGCAGGCACATCTATTTAGATGACAAAAACGACCTTCACATTAGCTATGACCTTTTCACCAATCAAAACCTCATTAAAGAAACACCACTACAAGTTCTAAATATACAAACCTTGCATTTCCAAGACCGTTGTTCTTTGAGATGTGTTCGTAACATTCAAATTTACGAGATCCTCTCCAATTTGTTTGTCTTGCCAGTCAAGGCGATTGGACAAAGCTTCAATGGCTTCGTTTATTGAGTCCAGTTTTTTTATGGACAGCAATGATAAATGAAGATGTTAAAAAAACTGATTGTTTACGTATGCGGAACAAGGTTTGTTGAAGTCCTAAATGTAGTAACTGTCCTAAATGTAATAAAGTCCTGAATGTAATAACATTTGGTCCTAAATGTAATAAAGCCCTAAATGTACTAACGTTCGGTCCTAAATGTAACAAGCCTCCTATGCAATCGTTTAACTGCGCTAACATTGAGATGTTAAAGTGACAGCTGTTGCACTAAAGAATCCTCTGACCAATGTTCATGGAATATTGCGGGCTCACCGATATTAATCAGCGTCTTTTTATTTGCTAAAGACGTAGGTTGAGAAGCATTGGCTACAAAACCTTATACTGATACTGGTGTGCTTTTGGCATCAAATTGACGTACGCAAAAGCAATGAGAACGTTGACCAATAGCTCTCTTTATATCATTGGCTCAGACTCTTAAGTGTGAAAGACTTTGACGATATACCTCTGTCATCAGTGCTGAAGTTAACACTTCATGAACCGAATTACAAGGAAAAGGAAGTCCACCGACTCATACGTTAGACAAATTCTGGGCTCGGAAGGGCATTTTTTGTACTGTCTTCCCTTGCCAGATTTGTACAGGTCTGCATAAAATATATTCATGTGCGTTATTGACCAAGCGTGAGGTCAAAATGGCTGGATATTGGCCGAGTACTTTTTTATATTTATAAATATATCTTATAATATTTCATTTTTTCTCTTCATCTCCACCGTGAGGGGAGAAAATGAATAGATAAATAGATGAACGAAAAAAGAAAGCTCAACAGTTTCCACTTATAGTCATATGGTACATGAACTGATTACTGAGGTGGAGTAAAGCCATAGAGGGCTAGAAATGCAATACTCCAGGTTCAAAATTGAATAAATCAGGATAGTCATTCTTAAAAATGGACTCAAATGCTTCATTAAAATCAATTGACACTTAATAACATTGATGTGCAAAATTTCAGTAACGTTTCAGTACTGATAATAATAAATTTCATTTGGATTGACATGTGGCACAGCGAAATCATCCAAACTGCTCTAAAACGGTGCATCACTACTAACGATAACATCAACAATAGCATGCTAGTTCATCATCAATTGTAGCCAATTTCTTTTCCAAAAAAACTTAATGATTACGTACCAATCGATTCCATCCTATTGATCTTCCAGCCAAGCACTAGCCCACTTTGGGCTGGAAATGATTTTCTTCAACTCGATCAATAAACCACTTTAAGGACCATACTTCGACTGCTGATATTTCTTATGTCTAACAAGTAAAAAAACGCTGATTGATATCAGCGAGCCCGTCTCTAACATTTCAATGTGGATGTCCGCCATAACAACAATGCGCTGAAGGAGTTAAATGATTGCATTGGAGACTTATTACATTTAGGACTTTATTACATTTAGGACCAAATGTTATTACATTTAGGACTTTATTACATTTAGGACAGTTATTCCATTTAGGACTTCAACAAGGTTCTCGGTAATGATTTGGGCCCTTGAGCGAACCAGACGTTTTACTGACTGAAATAAAAGAGCTGAGCCTCACTGAAAAAGTTTAGCATTCTCCAAATTTGAAGGCCGGCTCTTTTCTTTACTGAGGCCGCTTTTTCTTGGCAAGGGGGGAAGGGGAGAGGGAGTTAGCAGATGCGTTGCATTGACTGATGCATGATAGTTGCGCAAGAACCGCATTAATTGGCGCAGGAATGCCCGAGTGAGTCAAAGAAGAGAAAATGCAGGACATCGGCAAGACGTTTCAAACGCAAGAAGCTTAAAACTCCATTCCACAAGAAGCTGCAAAAGGGCAACTAACGCAACTATGAACTTCAAATAGCAGTAAGAAGTCGTTTTGCAACATTTTGGTAACTTCCCAGCTTATGCGTTACGAACGAGTGATTCATCAGCCAAACAGATGCTGACCCAAACACTTCTACTGAGTGGGAGGATAAGGTATAATCGCTGAAATTATATGCGCGCAGTACAAGCCAATTTTTTGGTGCCATAACCGCATATAAACATCTTTCTTCAAACGTATGTCTTACCTTTCTGTGCCCCGCATAGCCTTCGTCCTGATACAGACAGCGTAATAAATATCAATAACAGGGCCAGCAAGACAGCCATGGTGAGCAAACAAGCGATCTTCCAGTGTGCAGCTGTTCCCCACCCCCTTTTAGTCTTCTGTTGCTGATCTTCATCAATAAGCAATGGTTCCATTCTGAAACGCAACGAAAAGGAGTAACCTTGGTTTCATCAAAGGTAAGCAATACCAAGAGGAAATAGAACTAAAAAGGATTCCTGATCGCAGATTGGTGAAACATTTCGAGTTCTGTACGTGGTTTTCGCATTTGAAAATGAAAATATTCAGTCTACATTTTTTGTTAAAAAATTTCACCATTTACCGATTCTATATTCAGGAAGAATCTAAACGACAATCGCAAACAACGTGCACCACTTTCACAGAGAGTTTTAACCCTTCAGTCCTAACACGAGCAGGCGTTAATTGGATCAAAATCCAAAACTCTCTCAGGTGAATGTCGCCAAAACTTCCTGACAAGCTTGGAGAATTGGTACTGTTTTTCCTAGTGCAGTGGGGGCTGTTCACAGGCTAAGGTGTTGCTGTCGCTGATTTTTTTTCTTTTTTCATCTAATCGAAAGTTGATGTGAAACGGAATCAGTCATTCTAAAGGTTGCGTTGTAAAAGATTAACGTATCAAATCACCAACACTGTGCGGCCAAGAGCCCTTTATACTGACACGGCACTCGCCTGCTTTATATTGGTAATACAGAAGTTTGAGTCACGTATCACAGATGATCCAAGTTGGCTAAAATCTTTATTGGTAAGTCATTCTGCCAAAAACTCTAATGCTGTTGATTACGTTTGATGACAAAGAGCTAGAAAACTGAATACGACACTAACTTACTGTTTTTGCGAATAGTTCCCTTATTAAGCGTGTTGTTTTGGAGTTACGATGGAATCAAAACATAAAACTACTCCGAATTAAAACAGATGATATATACTTATATACTATATATATATATATATATATATATATATATATATATATATATATATATATATATATATATATACTATATAAAATTAACGTCGTAAACAAAAAAGCGAAATCTTTACTCATTACCGCGAACTGCACCTGGATCAGGAGATAACTCACAAGAATTAGAACCTCCGACTATGCCGAAAATCTGCAAAAATATTCGAAACAGACATTTCAATCTAAGCTCTTTTAGGTCTTTGTTCTTCCCAACAAGCCTCCACACGCTAAACGCGATGAGAGGCCCGGCATGGCATTGCAAACGATTTAACCGTCAATCAAGATCAGCAAAGCCAACGCATTTAAATATTTCGCAAATAACGCAATGAATATTCAAAACCAACCTGAGGTACTGGTTCCGGAGTAAAAAGACAAACTAATTACAAGCTTTCACGCGCAAGGTCAAGATTCAACCGCTGATCTTTGGTTCAAAATGGAATTTATCCCCGAATTCTAGCTGCTGCAGTTGTTTATGTCTTTCATCATCGAACCATTTCGAGAAACCATACAGATATCACGTGATGAATTGGACCATTCTGGGAAAAAGTTGAATCGCGTGCAGACATGAAAACTGAAATGAATATCTCGACATTTTTGTGTCTAGTGCGTAGTAACCAAGCACCTTGCAAAAGCGGTAAGAGATTGCATGTCAACAAATGACGTTGGCCTTAATGGTTTTGTGAAGTTTACCGTACATGTCAAGCTACATGTTTTAACCTCGATACTATTTCTGTCTTTGATGTATGCAAAGATAATAGTGCTTTGTTGCGTGATTAAATTCAAAATCATTGAAGTATCTTACAGAGAATCACAATCTTAGTAATTTCATTTCTTTAGCAAAAATTGAGCAAGTTATTTGTTATTTTATCCGAGGGAACTCAGCAAACAAGGCCAAATAGGGAGTGAGCAATATCTTTATCATACGTTCAGAAGTTCGTTTTTTACAACTTCGCAAGTTTTTAACCAGGGAGAACAAGTATGATATTGAAAAACCGACACGAACATGAAAGGAGACGGTAAAACTGGCAAATTGTTTAAGGCACGAGAAAACACAAGTGTCTAAGGTACGGATGGTTTTAGTTTTACATTTCATCACTTAATAGGAAAACCGAATCAAGACCGAGTTGTTTTCCGCACTCAATTTTAAAATTGCATCGACCGAAAAAAGATTGGTCTCAGCATTGGTAGGATGGTCAAGAAAAGATACGGGCACGCATCAGATTATCAACAAAAAGCTGTCAAAATTTATCTTTAATGTAACATCCTTCACAATGTTTATAAATCACAACATGGATGATTTCACTTCAGCACGATGGCTTAATTATCTTCACTGAGCCCTTGATGTGAGCTTTGAACTCGCGCCACTGAAACACATTGCCCACCCCTGTCAGGCACGACTTTGACATGCGTGCGATTTCTTGGTCTTTTATGACGTGATCCCAAATGTTGATACCTGTCATTTCACCGATGAAAGATTGATGGGCTTCAAATTTTCCCCCCTTTGAGTCTTGATCCTGCCCTAGTACCAGGGCGCCACGAATCACGTTACCTGAGGGGAGATAAACAAGAAATTAAGGAAAAAGATAAATTCACCAGTCAAAAAAGATTCAACTATGTCTTTTTCTTTGATTAAGCAAATATCTGGAGGAAATGATAAAAAGACTGGAAAGTAAGTACATTCTTCCCCTTTTTAGTTTTCTTAATCAATAATTTACTGAATAAGCGAGTCATGTCGCTCTGTTTGTTCCAACCTCCGCATTACTCTTTGGGATCTACGCACTTTATCCTTGAGTGACTAACGTAACATACACTGTAACATTTACGTGATAAATTTCATAATTGTTTATTAAGTAGTTTCACCATCACAGTTACTTGCATTTTTGTCAAGGTTTTTGCGTGTTTTTCAAATATTTATTTTTTGGCATCAGTAATCATTACCTCGTCAGAGTTTGTCTGATATATTTTTCCTTTTTTGCGCCTTTCTCGCGATCGGTTTCTCCAGTATCTTTAGTCTTCTTTCGCCTTTTTCAGCATCTTAGGGTGGTTTTTCTTCGCGTTACTTGCAAATCACATATAGAGCATTCAGGAGGGAATTTTTAACTAATCGTTTCTTCTCCACACAAGGCAGTTTAGTTCACAACGCAATTATTTGCGGTTCGTGTCCGCGATAATTTTACGAAGTTTCCTCTCAGGGAGATTCGTTTACAGTGTCCGTTACAATGTAAATGCAACCGGGTTTTTCCGAATGAAAATCAGAAACAGAGAAGTGAAACACTGAATTTACCATAAGTTTCAAGTAGTTGACAACATTCAGCAATCAACAGCAAACATAAGTTTAGGTAGCTTCTATATAGAAAACAACCTTTTACCTGACCGTATTTAACGGAACAGCTTTAAACATGTTTAAGCTTTGGTTTGTATAGAGTATAAGTCTATCTAAGCCTTCTATTTAAAACTACTTTTAAGTCTACGTGTACTTCCTATTTCGTTTATTTAAATAAATCCTCGAATTTTGTGGAATCCTGGCGGTTTTGTCATTTCGGCCTCTTTGTATTAGCAGTTACGCACACTTAACATTTAATACTATTGTACGGACCATTACTAAAAGAAGAATTTACCTGTTTGGAAACTTTTACCAGAAACGGTAACCGAACCATCTCGAAACAATTTCCATGATCCAGCGGTATTCTCCCATGTGAGGCAGATATGATGCCACTTTCCATCATTGGCAGATACAGAAGTAGAACCACTAAAATTGGCAGCAAAACGCGAGAAGTGTACTTTTAGTATCTTAAAGCTTACAGCAACATTAAATCAAAATTACTGTTGTGATTTAATAGCAAGACAGAACTTCAGATGAAATACTCAAACCTCCCATGGTCGTTGATGAAAATCCTCAAATTTCCATAGTCAATCATGAGAAGCGCGTTGCATTTTCCAAATACAGCATAGCTCAGGAGTGTTCCATCATTTCCAGTATCAGCGGTTTTGATCCACAGACAAACCGTCACAGCTGACAGGTTTGGCATACCACGTGTGATGATGACGTAATCACTGGTTCCTTTTCGTGGAAATTGCAGAGCGTATCCTGCAACCGTAGGATTACTCAGTTTTTTTATTTGTCAACGCTGCTTTCGAGACCTCTCTAAAAAAAATTTCTGCTCTCGTCTTTAGATTTATTTGTTTTTGGTGCAACTACTGATTTGATACAAGTCACAAGGGTATTTCAATAACAAAATGTTATATAGTTCTATAGATTACTGTTAACATTTTCAGGAGAACTATCACCTTACACCTTTTTCAAACCATTTGTCGAGCGAGTCTCCGATTACAACAACAGCGTTCCAAGAAATGTTGTCGTTGTTGGTTTTTTTTTTTAATGAGCATACCACGCAACCCCACAAACAAATTTTTTTCAAGCGTGAAAAGCCTAGGATCATCACCCAAGTGGCCGCTGAAAGAAGCGAAACAATTTTTTACGATGCACAAATAATAACAGTTATGAGTGCTGTACAACTTACTAAGTTACTCGCCTCGTACGTACGCCAGCAGTTAACATTCGAGTAACAGGTTTCCACGCTATTACTAGCGTAGTTCAGTATAGCCCATGAAAAGCTTCGTCTGACCAAAACTAATTCTGAAAACACAAATTTCTGCAGTCTAAACCGTGAGAAACTCAGAGAGCGCTCCCTTTTTAAATCGAAATCTGAGAAATTTTGGTGACTGAGAAGCACACAAGTAATGTATTTTTTGAACAGGTAATGTTTACAAGTTGTAAGGAGCAGTCTAATAAAATGTAAAGGATAGTCAGTAATCTCATCTGTATCAAGAAAGAAAGCTAATCCTACCCTGTTTCTCCAAGACAGTTAGCCTCAAGTTCATGGCGTGAAGCAACTTGGACAAATCTTCATTCGACTCGTTTAATAACTTTAATCTGTTTTTGATTTTAGCCAATTCCAGTTTCGTTTCTCGGGTGGAAGACATAACTACTTCATTATGGTCTCCAGTGATGAAAACTTTACCATCCGAGACAGTCTTATTCACTCGGGTGGATGAGGAAATGCGAGGTGAAGCCACAAAGATCAGGAGCAGATAAAAACAAATCGATTTAGTAACCAACATAGCGACAGAAAGAGCTGAGGTCTGCTAATAAGACTGAGTCATCAAAGAAACCAAAGCAATTTTTTTATTAAGCACGATGCATTTTTATTTATGAAAGCAAATTAAGTTTGTTTTTCTGTACGACGATGATGTAAGCCTTTTGCGTTTTATAAGATATTTATGACACAGTTGATTACCGGCCCATCAGTTGATAAACTGGACTTTTAGTGAACGAATAGGAGTGATTTAAACATCATTTATACAGTTGCACTTCAATTTATTGTCTCCCTTTCCCTCTTTTTTCCCTTCTCCTTTTTTATTTTATTTTTGTTTTTCTAGTAGCATTTTAGTTGGGTTTTCCAGTTTTTGAGTTTGACGTTTTCTTTCACATGCTAATTTTTGACGAAAATAATAGCACTTGTTCATTGTGCACAGAGACGGTTGTCTACAATAATATAATTTTGTAGCACACTACTGGATACACTACAAGAAGAGAAAAAAAGTAATAAGTTGCAGGAGTGTGTTAAGTATATACTGTCTCTGAAATGCCTTGCTCTGTCGGTATCGCAATTAAGCATTCGTTTGTGCAAGTTGTACGACAAGACGACGCATTAGACAATACAAGACGAGCCATGGTAGGAGCAGTATTGTTGTTATCTTTCTCTCTCACTGTTTCACCTTTGCTAACACATCGATTAAATTACCTTACGAATTGCTAGCAAGTAGTGAAGTAAGGGATGAGTAGAAAACTAAATTTACATTGTGAGCAACTGGGAAGAAAGCGAGCAACAGCATAATAGATGTGGGCTGACAAATTGTGATGCCGATATTTGAAATTCAAATATACATCTTTGCGGTCTTAGTAATTGTTTTATTGATTTCAAGAAAATCCGTGTCAACAGACCGGGATATTGACATTTAGATTTCATTCATGTTTGGATAGTTCAAGCGATTACATGAGCCCATGGCGATCATCGATCAGAAGAGAATTTTTGGAACAAGAAAGCGCGACGTTATTTTCCAACGTTGTCATTCTCATCTAAACACACCTATCGACCCATTAGAACAAACTTTGCATCTCAAATATTTCATCATTTAACATCTCGAACGTCACCAAAATTAAGATTGAGTCCACCAACAAATTCTACACTCCAGGCTTATTGGTAACCAGAAGGTTTTGATACCAAGGTCTCTGGTCTCCCGGGATTAAAATTAAAAGTACGTTGCGTTTTAAATGTTTTGATTGATATCAAATAAAAGATCATACGCTTGAGTAATATTTTCGACATGTTCTTAGTGATACTAAGATACTCCTTTACTCTCTGAAAATAGGATCTCTTTTAGCCTGTGCCAGGCCCGCAATGTAAATAAAGTTGTAATATGGAAAACATTAAATCTGAAAATATACAAGTTTGGTAGAAAAATATTTCTGAACATAACCCAACCTGCCCAACATCTAAATTTCATAATTCAGTTTGATGATCGATATTTTCTGGGAGCAACCTACTTTTAGCTAATCCTGCACCATTACCCTTCAGAGAACCATCCTGGCCGTTGTTTCTTCCCATGGTGCGCGGATTGTGCCACTTTCTATCGTTCGTAGATACGAAGATATTTTTTAACTGAAGAACATTGAAAGGAAACTCCCTCCTTACAAATCCACTGCGAAAAACTCTAATGATTGATGAAATACGGTTAAGATTATTGGTGAGATCGATTTTGAGTCTAGTGCGATAATGAATGAACCTGTATCCCCTCTTCGATCTCTTTCTTCGCATGAAGAGGTAAAATACAAAATTATTGTTAGACTTGGTTTTTCCCCGCAATATGAATGAAACACTGTGAAACCCATCTGAGTGGACGCGAAGCCCTTCGTTGTCCAATTTTCTCGGTCCTTTTCATACAGGCTCAAGGAAAAAGTACAGAGACAACCAGTTTATTTTTTTCGATCTATTAAAATTCTCTCATGATGGGAAAGGAAGGGATATTTCAACCGTTAGGGTTTCGGGGGCAGTAATAACCGGGAGTTTTAAGAAAAAGCCCCTCTCTTCATCAACCCCCCGTTCCGTGAATATTTACCATTTTTAAAACCGCGCACCTCCATACAACTGGTAACTAATTATTTCATCCAAAATGGCGGCGAACTTTTGGCTTTCTTCGCACTGCAATCAATGGCTCCTTGATCGTGAAGAAATCGAACTAGAAAGGCAACGAGACTACCAAAACCTTAAAGATGACGACTACAAGAAGATACAAATCTTTTTTATCAACTTTATGCAAGCTTTAGGCGAACATTTGAAGCTACGACAACAAGTAATTGCAACTGCCTCTTTGTACTACAAAAGATTTTATGCCAGAAATTCTTTGAAGAGTATTGATCCGCTTCTTATGGCTCCGACGTGTATGTACTTAGCTCACAAGACGGAGGAGTGTGGTGTGATATCTAACAGTCGTTTCAATGCAGCTTGTAACGCCGTTGTGAAGAACAAATTCTCCTTCGCTTTTCCCGGGGATCAGTTTCCGTACAGGATGACGCAGGTAGAGTATGTTTTCATCCTATCTTTCCATCTTGATGAGCTGTAAATTCGTGTATGCTTCGCTTTTTAAGTTTAGGCAGAAACAATCCTATCAATCATCCCTGCATGAAAAGATGCTTACTGAACTACACCGAATACAAGATAATCTATACCCACTATATATATTGGTTTAATAAAGTACATAAGATAGGTTTAAACGTATTTTTCAGCAAGAAGTAACATTGAATGCTATCTCGTATTCCGAGAACAGATCATTTATCAGTAAAAGACATTTAAGTTTTATTGTGAAAGAAGTCACCATTTATCAACAGTACAAGCTGCAAGGAAAGGCAAAGAAGAACGTTTGCAGGCATGAACATGTTATGGATCTAACTTAGAGTCATTTCAGCAGTTAAAATGGCTCTAAGAGGGCCCCAAAACATATTTATGTCCAAGAATAATAACCCTTTAACTCCCAGAAGTGATTAACATGTAATTTCCTCCTATAGTATCTAAACATCATCCAAACTTATCAACTAGAAGTGGTTATCTTGATCTAGCACCAAATTCTTATAACTTATTAGCAAGGAAATGTGTTGCAGCTAGAGGGGAGAATAAAAAATCAGATCGTGGGAGTTAAAGGGTTATTAACTGAAATTCTGTTATCATCACTCTGGGGGGGGCATTGAGAAAATAAACTGAAAAAATGGCACAAAACAATCTGAACAATAATACAAGCATGCAAGGCAGATACAATACATTGTAGCCTGCTAAAATATCCATTGTAGCCTGCAAAATCTGCCCTAATGCCCAACAAAATGATGATAATATTCATCAATCTAATCTGTTTAAACAGTTCATGTATGTGGCTGTTACAGTGGGAGTGACTAATGTCAAATTCACTAGTTGTGGACAACAAGTAAGGAAACACATTGGTGTGGATATCATCCAAAACCCACCCTAACTCCTGTTTTGTGTTTGAAACAAAAACATGGTGGACTTATAAGTAGATATACGAGAGGAATAAGTTTAGCAATAAGAGTAAAAGCAAAAGAGATAACCTCTTTGGTAATTTTTTTTTCTTGAAACTGTAAATTGAGAAACATTTGGGCAAGAGGGGTTGCATTTGGCAGTTTTACAAGAGGCATAATATGCAAAGACCATTATTTATACTGTAAAATTTGTTACTTGAAAAGTGTTCCCACTTCCCTTAAAAATACTTGATATCCTTATCTTTGTTTTCCTTTTAAAAATGTTTCATCTGTTAAAACTTTTTCCTGAAGCATCTCTGGGAGCCTGAATGTTAAATCCCAAATCAGATAGTGGTGCCCATAACCAGTCCAACTTATCACAGTACAAACTGGGGTCTGTAATTGTTTCCATGCCATTCCTGGTAATGCAGGAAAAAGAAAATAGGAAAAAATAAAATAAGTTATTCCCTGGACTAGGTCAATCCACATGGGAAAAAACTGTGACCTTGGTCTCTAGTATGGCAATAAGCCTTAGGTTCTACCCAAGACCTCAGGCACAGTTTTTTCAGTATACAAACCTCCCACCCAGGAAATGACATATATATCTTCCAGAGATTGCAAATGTAATTTGGTCAAGCAGAATCTCTTTACTGATTTCATTTGTTTGCTTGCAGGTTCTTGAGTGTGAATTTTTCTTGCTTGAGATGATGGACTGTTGTTTGATTGTGTACCATCCTTACAGACCTCTTACTCAGTATGTTGCTGATCTTGGGATGGAAGATGCAATCCTGCCAATTGCATGGCGCATTTTGAATGATAGTTTGCGAACAGATGTCTCTCTCATCTATCCCCCTTACCAGATTGCATTGGCTGCCATTTATATGGCTTGTGTCATTCAACAGAAAGATTCCAAGCAGTGGTTTGCGGAGCTATCTGTTGATATGGACAAAGTACTGGAAATCACACAGGAAATCTTGCAGCTGTATGAACTGTATAAGAGTTACGATGAAAGAGCTGAAATCTCTGCAGTACTAAGCCGAGCCCCGAGACCCAAAGTCAGGCCAACATCTGCTACACCCGGCCAGACTCCATCTCCTGTGCCACCAGAATCCTGACTGAGAACTTTATGACTGTCTTTCTCCCCTTTCCAATAGTATTTTGGGAAAAATGTTTTTAACCCTGTTACTTCCAAGATCTCGTTAGCACATGCAATTCAGCTTGCTGTCTGCCTTACAATTTTTATGATGTTAGCTCATAGAACTTGCTACTTGATTAACAAATACTCCCCCTAATTGAAATTTTTCTATTTTCTTGTCACTTGTCTACTGGATATTGGATTGTTGTTGTAAGCTGGGTCACTCATGAGAGTTAAAGGGTTAAATATACTTGAATGAATTTGAAGAACCAAGAAAGATTTGATTATTTATTCTGACTGTCTTGGTGAAGGTAGTCCTGATGAGGGCTGTTGTCAGGAGTGGTGACTGTAGTTTTGAAAACCTTAGGGAAAGTCATCGTCAGACCCAGAAAAGATTATTTCACGTCAATTCAATATTGGTTATTGTATATTGGTTATTGTTACTCTCCTTTTCAATATATTGTCTTCAACCAGTGTTTCTATGGAGGTAAAGATTAGGGTTAGACACCCATAAAAAAAACATAAACAACCCAGCACTCCTTGCCCTGCTTCCCCTTAATTAGGACAGCAATTCAGTGCCACAGTCTCTAACAAAATTTAAGAACTGTAGGAAAGGAGAGAGGGGAGGGAGAGATTCAGACCCTCCCCCTCAAGTTTGATCTCAAGACTATTTTCAGATACTCTAATTTTTGTGCTCATTTTACTTGCTTATTAAAACTTAATATTTTTCTGAATTTTCAGTGGGTTTGTGACCTTCATATGGTTCTTACTCTTAATAGACCTCTTTCATAACTGGCATGCTTAAATAACTTAAAAATTTGATGTTAATTAGCCTTTCTGGCCTCTACAACAGGTTTAAAAACAATAGAATTTTTACTTAAAAAAAAGTCAAGAAGGCTGATTTTTAGCACTTGAACAAAATGTAATCATACCTGTCATTATACCACATTCTAAAGCTTAATAATATCATGAGTTGTTACTGCTGGTTGAGTACTAAAGAATTAAGCAAAAAGTCAACAACTTCAATTTTTTACAGACAAAAAAAAGTTCTTTTCATTTCTAAAAATTTTGCAATGTTTCAGTTACGTAACAAATTGTATCACATGGAATATTTCAAAAAACTTACAGCTGCAGTAAAATTTTGCAAGTAACTGACCTGTGGCTGGTGGCTTTTAAAACTATCATCCTTAAGTTTATCCTGTTGGTCTGTGCTTTATTTTCAAAAAATTGAATCTTTGAGTTTTTCAGTCTTTGAACCCTTCATACCCAACATTGGTAGCAGCACTCACCTGAGAGAAAATAGGCTCTGTTAGGGCCTGAATTTTGTTTTCAGGATTTTCTTTCTGGGAATTCATTTATCAGCCACTGGTCAAATAAAATCAACCTTTCACCTCCATAATTGACCAAGAATGAATTTCTCCTTACAATGTCAAAACAGTAATCAGCAGAAAGGTGATGAGAAGTAAGAAAATTATCAACCAGGTGGATAATATGTGATTTAGCAGTAAATCCCCAGTCATTGGAGATGTGAAAAACAAGAAATAATGATAATGAAAACTTATGTAACCTCTTACATGTGGCTTTGTAAATTAGTAGGTAAAAGAACACAATGAATGCACAGGAGGTATAGGGGTTAGAACAAAAAGAAAAGTTTAACTGTGCCATGGGTAGTGCAGCCAGATATTGTTTCACTATTAGTCAAAATTTATACAAAATTCTTGCTTGTGATTGGTTTTCAGCAACCCAATTTGAGCACTTGTAGGACTGTGTAGATGTCAATCTTCTAATTAGATTGTGTATAAGACAATTTACTTTTTTCTTCTCTAATTATGTCCCAACAACTGTTTGGATAAATTAGTAACAGGCCTTTGTGTTGTTTAATTCTTTCTGTCATCAGACTATAAAGTATGGACATCTTGTATTCTGCTGCATACACCTTTATTGATACCTGACTGACTGTACCAGCAGCTAAACTACTTGCTACATCTAATTACAAGCTTGGCTTTTATACATACAGTTGAGGATCTAGAACGTTCCATGACATTACAACAGATTCTATTTGTATATTGATTCAGGGATGACAGCATGACACAGCTACTTCTAGAACATTCTTGAAGGTCACACTACAACTAATGATTAAAACTCAAATTCTTGCTGTAATAAATATTAAATGGAGGCTTCTCTATTTCAATGACTCTACTTCATCCTCTTAGCCAATTTGTCAATTTTGTTTACTTAGCAATTATGTCATAAGTTTTAACACATGGACATATATATAAATGCTGTTAGCAGCCTTCTCTCAGTGGTTCTAGTTTCAGCTTTACAGAGCTAGCATAAGTTTTTTTTGGTAAATTACGTTTAAGCTATTAATAGCTATTAGCTATTAAGAGTACAAGCAGGAACTGATATGTAAGTACTGGCTATTTCTACCCCTATTCTTAAGCAAAAGTTTGAACTTATAGCCTTTGTTCCTTAAGTTGCATTTTTAACCAACCAACTTACAAAGTATCATTACAAGTCAGGTACATGGCTCCATGTGGCAGCACCCAGTTTTTCAAAGGTTCCATTTCGTTTTTCTGTAGCCTTGAATCTCCTGCAATCTTATGGCCTTAAGGATTTTATAGCTGGTATTGATTCGTGATTTCTGTTATCTTGTATCTGTTTTCATTTAGTAATTAGTTGATCCACTGCATTACATATAAATTTTCATTTGATTATCCTCAATAAATCATGGTTAATAACAGCTGATTTTCCATGATCTCTGGCCGTATTTGATCATTACATATTTCCCGCACGCAAAGCTCAACGCAACAAGTTGTTGACAAGTGACCTTTTGGCTCTTCAAAAGTTGCTGAGAACTTGGCATTACACCTGCATCATGTTTGCCTAATTTTGTTTTATTAACTTTGATGATACCAGACTGAATTGGACACAGCTAAGTTATATTATAAACCTTATGGTAGAATAAGTTGTCTGAAACAAGTTTGATCCTTCCTAGTATCACACAGGATATCTTTTTCTAGCATCAAGTGAATTATGCCCATCTGTCTAACTTTCCCCTGGCCACTCTGATAGAGGCCCACTGACCCCTCTCCCCTTCCTAAATTTTCCTTGCTCTACACAGCCAGCTGATATTCAAAAATCAAAAGGCCTATTATGGAAGGAAAGGCCTAAAAGCTGTTATGAGCTTATTAACCCTTTAACTCCCGTGTGTGACCAAGACAGAATTTCTCCTTAAAATATCAATACAATATCGACCAAACAAGTGATGAGAATAAAGAAAAATATCAATTTAGGGATAATTAGTTGATCCAATACTAAATTCTCTGACCTAACATTATAAGAATTGTATGGCTGACAGTAAGGAGAATGACAAATTTGATCTGGGAGCTGAAGGGTTAAAGCCCTTAGCTTTTCCATGAAATCTCTTTCATGCGTTCAAAGTTTTAGAAAGGCAATGCCTTATATCCTCAAATATTATTTCACCCATTCTGTCGTATCCCGCTGGAGAAAAATGAAGATGATCTGCCCAAAGTGTTCTACGATCCTCATCACTCAGCGATTCCCGCGGTAACTTTGTAGCCAGGTCGGAGACAAGCATTTTACTTCCACATTGTTGTACAAAATTCTTTAAAAGCGCGTTCACTTGCAATCGTTTCGCTCTGACGACAGTGTACCCATCCATAGTTTCGTAACCGGTTTCCGGGACAGTCACAGCCACTGATAGAGGAGAATGTCGAAGAGCTAGCTCGTGCAGCGATCTCAAACGACTGAATAAAGGCTCTCCGTCCTCATCAAGACGCATGCCGAGGTCGTTTGTGCCTCCCAGGATGATCACTATGTCGAACGGGCCACCCTCGTCCAAAACCTCAGGAAGTCGAGCGTTCATTTCGTCTATGGTTTCACCGCTCACGCCCTTGTTAACAATAACAATAGATTCTGTCTTGCACTCGGATTCCATAAGATTTTGCAGTTTGAGGGTATAAGGATGGAATCTAGTCCCAAATTCGCACCAACCTTCCGTCAAACTATTACCAAATGCTAGGATTCGAATCGCCATCTTGTTTTTAATGAAGAGCCTACGTAAAGCCTTACCTTCCCCCCGCCAAGGAGAAACGGAAAATACTTCTTTGGAGGGATGGTACGGCTACACGCAGGCTAGAATGAAAGGGTATAGGGAACCAAGAATATTTGGAAGAATATCAAATTTTGGGATCAATGTTATCATCTGAGATACTGCACACCTTCTCCCCCCCTTCTCCCAAGCCAATATCAAACTTCAGTTGTTATCAGTTGACTATTGTTGGGTTAGGGGAGGAGTGAGTGCGCAATTGCTCAGATAATGACATTGAACCAAGTTTTGAACTAATATTACATGGATCAGTTTTAATCCTGTTGAAAAAATCCACTTGAAACAGTTTCGTGGGACTAAACATCATCCTCTTTTACGATTAAAACGCAAATCATCTTAACGGATCTAAGCTTAGAGGACTCCAAACAGGAGATCTAAGTCTTTAATTTGCACAAATTAGCTGATATGGACAGCAAAAATGTCAAACTGACGGATTTGTTTGGAGATCTGGCCAAACAGAAGCTTGTCGATAAGTATTAGCAATTAAGACATCCTTCAGTTCCACAGAAAATTAGGACAAAACAAATATTGTAATTGCGAATTTTTAATTTAACGAAATTGTCTATATCTTGTCAATCTTAGGGTAAGTTATGGTAAACGGTTCCCATTCCATATCTTTCTGATAATCAGTTTTAATCTTAACTCGGAAGCGTATCAGCGAAATTTAGCAAATTAATGCAATGTACTTATGGAGTGGTTCATTTATAATACACAGTACTGTGCAGTTAGTTCCGTCAACAGTAATAGATACTGCATTTGAGTCAACCAACAGACTTCCATATTCCATCATTATACGTGTTCGTTAAGTCTTCCGCTACGTGATTAAGTCATAACAGGCGACCACAGAGCTGGTTCACTGAAGTATGGAGCGAATTTCGTGAAAACCGGCGAAAAATCGGAAATGAAAAACCTTTCGAACAACGCATCGTCGGCACTTGCGCCATTAAACACTGTTCTGTCTAAACGAGAAGCCATTGTGTGGTGTTGTGCCTTTACAGTTTCATCTGCCATCATTATTACGGGAAATCTTCTTACTATTGCTCTCTTTACCATCAATAAAAGACTTCAGAAAAAACACTTCGTTCTTCTCATTAACATGGCCAGCGCTGATCTGATGTTAGGAGCTGTATCTCTTCCTGTCTTTATTTACTCAGTGGTCTGGAAAACGTATGAGCAAAGGCTAGAGGGAATGACAAGCACTTTCACAATTTTTCGTGGCGTTTCCACCATCTTTTACTCGCAAGCCTCAATTATTTTTGCAGCTTTCATCTCCGGTGAGAGAGTTTTCGCCACGTATTGGCCATTACGACACAGAGTGGTATCCTTGAAATCATATCGTAGCGTGTGTTATTCAGCATGGGCCTTAGTTCTCCTAAGTACAGCAATTCTTTCTCTACTAAGGATTTTGGTGTCTAGAGAAGCTTATTCCTGGCTCTGGGTGCAATTCACCGCCAGTTTGATAACCATAATATGTGGTTGTAACATCGGTGTTTGGAGAAAGTTCCAGAAAAGACGTTTTACTCAGAATGCGAGATCATCACAGAAAAGACAGTTGACGAAGACATTGTTGTTGATATCGCTGCTTGCTTTGCTGTCGTGGCTCCCAATAATTATTTTAAACATCTTCCAAACTGTTAATTATTCTGTGAATAAGAACATTTATTTTACGGCAGTGTTTTTGAATATTTCAAGTTGCTTTGTAAATCCGGTAACGTATTTTGTAAGAATTCACGAGTTCAGACAAGCACTCATCGCAAATTTCTACAAAAGAAAAACAATGCGTGGAGATACGTATGTTAGTGTTGGAAGAGACAGGGCTTTCTCAATCTTCTCAGTATTATCCAACGATTTTGTGGACGTTCTGGATACAAAATTGTAGACGAAGATTTTTCAGGGAAACACACTATGTAATAACACATAACTACAGTCTAAATTTAACGAAAAAACTGAACTCTCTAACCCTACTGTTTGTTGCAGTTTTTCACCTTTATAGGGCGATGTTATAACTCTTTATAACTAAAACAGAATTCGATTTCTGCTATTATTCCGTCGCCTTAAATTTTCATACTTTAAAATAAAAAGCATTTCTCTCGGTCACGTATAATGTAAAAACCAACATATATATTAAAACCTTAACAAAAAGAAGACGTTATTACAAATTTTTTTCTTAATATTACGAATGACTCTTGAGAGTAAAAAACTTTGTAATAAGTGTGTATAACTCAGAACTTTTGTAATCTAGGTTCAATTAAACTATTAGTAGAATTCTATCTAAGGAAACTTAACCTTCAACTGCGTCAAAGGACCATTAGTGCATTGTCAGACTAGAATCCCAAGCCGGTGTCAGTAAACAGGTGGTCGCATTTCAATTTACACCTCTAAGGCGACATAACCAACCAAAATTGTCAGGTGCGACAATACAGCCTCCATCTAGCAAAAGAGTTTCGGCTCGAATCATGATTTGTGCGCGAACAGTCTTCGGACAGCTCAAGGAAAATTTTGAGATTTGTCTCAAGTCTAAATTGAGATGGGAAAGCTTTCTGCAAATAGCAGGAAGGAAGAGAGAAATTGTAGAGAAGTCGCTTAAGGGAACGTTTTAAAGCGAACATCCTGTTTGTAAACGCTTTCGTCCTGTGTGCTAAATAAATATTAAGTTATTAGACTTGTACATTTGCATTGGACTTTATCCTCCGTTCCTAGAGGCACAAAGGGTCACAAAGATTTCCTCGAGCTTCTCTTTCGGAAACCGTCACCTCTAGAATCAAATAACGCCCACTGAAAAACATTATATTTTCCTGCCCAGTGGAGGTTATCGTCGAGTTCTCAGTGTTCCGCATGTCGCACTTTTCAACAAGCTAGTACAAGCTATAACCCACCCACTAATTTTCGCGCGGTTCTATTTACGTTGCTTGTTGCAAAATCACCGGATGGTTATCACGCAATAACCTCCGTCTACGCCGAAATTCGTCCTCCAATTATTTCCGTCGAAAAGAAACTAAGCCAACGGAATAAAGCCAGCTCAATAGTTTCACTTTTTCATCTTTATTACTTTACATGAAGACAAACGAACTGCTTTTGACATTAAAAATATGTTCTCACACGCAGCTAAGGAGAGTATAAAAAAAGTCAATTACATTTATGAAAAAATTTGCTTTCAACGCACGTTACGAAAATAAATATAAGGTTTGATAATAAATAAATCTCTCATTTGCCCTCGAAGCTTCGCTTCTCGGCCAAATATTCATTTTTCGAACAATTCTCAGCTGCGGACATTATAAGCTAACGAACCAGCCGCCTGAAGGGTTTATTTATCAAGTGCCACAACCATTGTAATTATGCATAGATTATCGTAAAATGCGTCGTTATTATATGGTGCCGCAGTACAAACATCCTGCAGCAAATTGAAATATGTTTCTTGAATCTTGCAACGTAGCATTATTCTACAGGGTGTGTATTTGTGGTTTCCCTCACCGATCTCACCGACATATCAGAAGAACAAAGCGCGATATTTGACGATATTCGTTTGCATTGCTTTTACCAAGCACTGCATGTTTTGCGGCAAAGTTGAGATAGTCACAATTTGCGTCAAGATTTTGTTACAAATTGCGTAGACCGACGATCATCACAAGATGCTGAATTCTTTTTTCCAAGAACATTTGTCGCACTTGCAACTTGTATCGATAATTATAATTATACTTACAATAATAGTAATAATAATAATGATGATAATTTTAAAAAAAACTTTAATCACTAAAAACATTTTCTATTATTATGATAAAATCCTTAAAAAATCGAAAAATACATTAAAATGTCTTGTAAAAGTCTATGAAAAACTGACGAATACACGCTTCGTTTACGTTTACTTCTTGAACTTTAAAGAAGAATAAGATAATAAAAATAAATAATAAAATCTTGCTAGTTGGCTACCGATTCCAAAACCCCCACTAATCTTAGATGTGAGGAATATTAAACGCTGTAATCCTAAAATCTCGCTAGTTCCTAATCAATTTCAAAATCATTTTCTGTAATGCTCAGCGGAGCTCTTCGCGTACATCGTGAGCCTCTCATGCATAGCAGCACAGACCTCAGGAGGGCGAATGAAACTTAAGTGCGAATCCATGACATTGTAGTACTGTAATTCTCTCCCTTCTTGGTTGATAAAAGTTCAAAGGACTCCATGAGACTTTGCATTCGGGTAACACATCCTGACATCAAAAAAGGCGGAGCCTTGTCGAGCTGGGCATCCGCTGCTCTGTTCATACCAGGTGTCAGCACTTCTCCGTTTATCTCCTGAAGTACCGGTTCAATTTGGACATCATTGCACACCATCTTTAGCATTTCGGCTTCTAAATCACGCAACTCTTTATGTCTTTGAATAATGAAGCCCCCACGTCTGCATACCATGGCGTGATCTACATCAAAAAAATCTCCATACACATAAGTAGACGGGGTGTCGCTTATTTGCCGATCATATCTCAGATGAATGGCAAATAATAATAATAATAATAATAATAATAATAATAATAATTATAATAATTGTAATAACAATTTTATATATATATATATATACATACATAAAAATAATGACAATGATAACAATAATAATGGAAATGATAATGACAATAACAATGATAACAAAAGTGATAGTGGTGAGATAGAGAATGATAATGATCATAGTAGTAGTGATGTTAGTGAAAATGACAGTGTAAATAACGTGTCTCTCAACAAAAATACCATCTGCATTTATTCGGCTTCAAGATCTTCTTGTCGAAATGCAGAAACGCTCGAACCCGGACCACCCGATCCGGAGTCGAGCGCACTGACCATGAGGCCACCGCGCCTCCACATACCCTCTCTTTGGGGGGGCCAAAAACTAAAATCAACCCCTATTTTCATTCTTCCATTTCATTTTTCTTTTTTACCAAACTCAGTTTCTACACTGGTTGGTTCTTCTTTTTTTTCAATTTTTATTTCGAAAACTTGAAGCAGTCAGGGCTAGCCTCATTCCAAAGCCCAAATTTCTCCGTGGAATAAACTTAATGGAAATCACGGGGCCATTGTCTGGTCGACGCTTAATTAGCGTTTAACAGGTTGTAGAGCTGATAAATTTTGTAACATTTTGCTACTGACACTGAAGTATGTTCCTCATGAATGATTTGTGTTAACTGTAGAAGCATTTTAGGCGTGCTTGTAGGCATGATGAATCCCCTGGGGCTACTAGGCTATTTAAGATTTTGTAAGTTATGCAAGAGCCACTCGAAGGCATCCCTTTCAACTTTGCTCTTGTGTTCATTCATTACCGTATTTTCTTTATGATGTAACGCTCGCTGTATCCTGCATCAATAAACGAGATACCCGCTCCTGATGCTGTGTTTGTGTTTATTAAGATTAGTTACAAAATATTTTATAATCCTTTCAAGGTGATTAGAATATAATATGATTTTTGCTCCACATTCCGGATGAAGAAGCTGGTAATCGTCACGAACAGAAGCGAATAGTGTCTTAATAGGTTTGTACTTTAAGGACTGGTCAGTCACAGGACGGGGTCCTTCTGACTGCCTTGATCTTGGCCCTTCTCATGTAAGTACCCCGCTGCAATGCCCGTCCTTCCTTCCACTGCTTGTGTAACAGGAGTTTCACCAAGCCTCTGTTCTAGTCCCCTCCACGATCTTGATGCAAGGTACTCCGCTAAATCAGAGATTTTAGCAAGGATCAGTTTCTGATTAATGACACATTACTTTACAATACATGATGGATAATTGTTTTCCATATTCTTTTTACCAATCAATGAAAATTATTTCCATTCTTAATCGCTACAAATCTTTGTAAAACATTGGTGCTGTGGAGACGTGTAGCTGGAGCTGGTTTAGCACCATATCACATCAGCTAGGAGAGCACGAATCGCGAGTTACGAGTGAGTGGAGGAAGTCGCTACTCCCACGCGCGATTCCCACTCTCCTCGTTTGCGCCCTGATCTCCACTGGCCTAAAAAACACAAAAGACACCCATTTTGTGGGCTAGAAAAGAAGATGCCCTAATTCTCTCTTAAGACCAATCAACAAAATATTATAATAGGAGGGAAATAAGAAAAGAATTGAAGGCTCCTGGAGAAATTGTTAACATCTCATTAACGACGAGAATCAAGTCCAACCTGCAGAACTGTGGTGTTGAGTTGACAAACTTGTTTCCTGATTCCTCTCAACCAGTGACCTTGAAGAATTCCCTAATAATAATCATTTAAAATAAAACTTAACTTTGCATCCTCTGAACAGTCCGAATCATAAATAATATCAGCACCTTGGCTGTATTCAAAAAAACATTAACGAGTAAGATGTTCTAAAGATGTCGAAGATTGTAAGTCCCCATATTGACCCTTCTGCTTGAAAGTTTTCTATCGGTGGGTCTTTAGATAATAGCTAACAAACACACCTCTGTCCACTTCTGATGAACGATAAGTGGGTCTCAGATGTCCAGTCACTAGGGAGACATCTGGGATCTCACTGGATTCATCCATATTCTGTGGAGTAAACCAACTCGTGAGTAATTGTTCAAGATTGTCCGCAACAACCAGTCTGTCTTCTAGCATGGGAAGAAAGGTACCTTACATCCCAGAATTCACACGGCGCCGGGGTCAAACAGCCTGATATTTTTTCGCCGATTTCTATTGACCAGCACATACTGAGAAAAAAAGACTCTTCGTAGTATTGTTAAAAGACAAAATTGGCATCTAGCAAGAATTTTCATTATAAGTGATTTTTGACTTATTTGAACGTGAAAATAAATGAAAATGATATAATAGCACAAACCACTCGGTAAAAATTATAATAAGCCAGATAAACATTTCTTATTCCTTTTAGCGGTCTTATCTTACAGGTATAATTTAGCGCGCTCGACACCTCTCTTTTACTTAGAGGTGACTTTAGGTGTAAACATGTCGTACTTTTCATCTTCCGCACTGAATTTGCAATCAGATAATTTATACGACTAGCACGTAGCTCTTCTAGGGGCGGTACCTTGGGTACGACCTTTCTCCTTCGAACTTTGTGTTTATTCTGCTGTTATGCAACAGCCCTCAAGGACTATTTTCTCTTAAGATATCTTTTCAAGTATGATTTCAATTCTGTTCGTGAGTTTATTATAATTTTTATATTGTCAATCTTGTTTTTGTTTTACCCGAACTTGACCGTAAGACCAAGAGATTTAAGTTAGAAGGACAATTCGTAAAGCGTAAACATCGCAAAGGTATCTACTTAGTATGCGAACTCCCCTCTGCGTAGCTTAGCGCGATTCGCTGGTTAAGTGTGAAAGCATGACGAAGGTTAGAGATTGACAGCTCCGTAGGTGTCGCCTTTATAAGCGGTGACCCTCACTTTCCTAGAGAGATCGGAGCTAGTCCCCGTTGTAATAACTTGAGTAGTAAGAGTGAATAAAGAAAGAGACAACAAAATAACGAGTGTTAGGAGATTATTTCTGACAGTATATGATTTCCCAGTTTGCACTTTGAACAATTTTCAATTCGGTGTAGAAACACCAAAACCAAAGTAATCACTACGGCCATTTAGAAAAAAGGTCATCATCATCATTAGCCAACGCAAACTGCACTGATCATGATAATTAGCCAAGAAAAACTGTTTGAAACCCAGGAAAATGCGAGTCATTAAGTCGCGATTGGTTTCAGTCTTGTTATTCACTAGTTGAGGGGAGTGTGGTTAGAATTCTCTTTTCTCGACCAATCACAGAGTGAAGTAAAGCAAACCCGAAGCAGTTGCCGATTTATGCGATACCACTTTATAAGACAATTGAGGGTCTTGCTTACCTCTTCTACATCTAGTTCAACTGAAGCACTGGCCCCTGTTTTTGTAAATAATAAAAAAAACTTTCCGATCATCTCCGGTAGCAAGGAATAATTTTGCTTGCAACTTGCAAACCTCCACGTGCTATTTTACCCAATGAAGGGTTTTTTCCTTGACAATTAAAGAAGAATAACCCTCTTCTCTTAAACATGCACCAGATGTTGCCATGCAATATCTTTCAGTAACTTGCAGTGCTAACGATGAATATTTTTGCAAGCTAGAAGGAAAATTGCCCACTATTTTTGCGCGACTATAAATCAAATACTCCTGACTAAGGATTGCCAACCACAAAAACCTTCCTAATTATGATAAAATTGTGGTGTCTTGAGATAAAAAAATAAAATCTCACTCCCACAAATCTCAAGCTATCTTGACTGACGTCCAAGTCAAATTTAAATTCAAGATATCACTTTGCAAAGTAAAGAGGTACTATCTTTCATTAGTGATATGTAGATGTTGTTGGTACAATCTTAGACCGAAGATCAGTTCATTGTTTGTGTTAAATATAGAAATTGAAGCACTTGAAGTTTAAGTTGAAACCAGATTCTAAGTTTCAAACACAAACCTGGTAACAGTTCCCTAAAGTCTGTTATATAGTCTCCAGTCCACTCCCGAGTCCTGTGGATGAGAAACATGTCATACCATCTGTATTTTTACAAATACCAAAGAATTAAAAGAGACCCTTGTTTTGAGTTAATTAATTCATAATAAAGCAGAGGTTTCAGTATGATGATATTCTTATTAGTTGATATGTGTTGAAATTGCCAGAACTTTCATTTAGCAAATGACTTCTGGGTCTAAATAAGTTTTCTTTTCACCAGTTTGTGATTATTTTTAGAGAAAGTGTATGAAGAACAACCACCTCCTGGTTAGCTCAATTAGAGCGCTGGACTGTTGTGTGGGAGGTCAAGGGTTTGAGCCCCGACTGGACCAACACTCAAGGTCTTAAAATAACTGAGGAGAATGTGCTACCTTTCTATAATGTCAAGAAATGGATAGACATTCTAGTCTTCTCGGAAAAGGACGAATAAACCGTAGGCCCCATCTCCTGCTTCTATTAACTATTCAATTTGGTTAGGCAGGGGATGTTAAAGAACCCACTCACAAGATTACTGTGAAGTGGTTTGGCCTGTTTACTGGGAATTAAGGGGGGGGGGGGGTCTGGCCTTGTCATTGTTAAGACGGGATCCACTGTAATTGGCTAAAGCTGTAGTGGTCTCTCTGCCTGAGATAATTAGGCAAAGCTAAATAAATAAATTAAGAAGAATCTTTGAGTTTCCTAGCAGCTTTCTTTTCACCACTTTCTTTTAATATATTATGAAAAAAAGTATCTTATTTTTCTTGACAGCATATGCAGGAATATAGAGATTTACTCCAAAATGAAGAATAACCAGAAGAAAAAAGGGAATTGGAAATAAGTCTCTTGAATAACATGAATGCAAAATGTCATAAATCAATCACTTTTGAACATTTCAAAGAGGACCTTAAACCCTATGCACATTACTTCCTGAAGGCTGAGCCTATCATCTGTATAATGAAGTAAAGGCTTAAATCTTGTCATACCTCAAACAGGCTAATTCCATTTCAAAAGGAGTAACTATTGGTTTATAAAACTCCTGTAAGACATAATAATACAAATTTAACAAGAAATACTGAAAATTTTAATTACTCTTAACTAGCAGTTTTGAAAGACTCGAGGACTGAAAGAAGAGGATCAATAATTTTTGCTGTACCTGGGAGTCAATCAGGGTGTTTTCAGGGCATGCCACCAACACAAACACATCCACCTCCATAAAGTTGGCCATTTTTGCCACATTAAGCTTTCCCATGACAAACAAATAGGACTGAAATAAAATAGAGCATTATCATTATCACCACTCTAATTATGCTTGTTCATAATTGTAAACAATGTTATGATTCTAAAAAAAGGAATGGCTATGTGATGACTGAATTGATAGGACTCTGGGCTGTAGACTGACAGGTTGAAACTTGTAAGCCAGGGTGTTAGGTTCATTTTTGCTGTATTGTGTTCTTGGGTAAAATGAAATCAGTCCCACTGTACCAGTAAACTGTCAAGGAAACCTGGATATCCTGTGATGAACAGGCATCCCACCCAGAATAAATAACAAGACCCTCTGGTCACTATAAGTTAAAAAATATCAGAAAAATAAATGGACCCTTTCTCTTCCAATATATAAATGTCAATTATCTAGTAACCATCTTCAACACAATGCTTTTAATTTCAGCTGTGAGAATTTGTCATTGAGTTTTTCAAACTATATTCCCTATATATCTGCAACTCCAGACCAATAAATGTTAATATATCATATGGTTTTTCCTTTGCTCAATGTACATCCCAGGCAGAGGACTTTTCTTAAATTGTTTATTCACTCAAGAATTACTTACCTTTTTTCCTGCAAGCTTTATGACTTGCTTCAGTCTTTCAATAACTCTTAAGTAATCCGCTGAAAAAACAAATTAAAATGTTTAAATCTTAAACTAACTTGGAAGGTACACAAAAGGTTCCAACCCATAATATATTAACTGTATACTATTCTATATGCTGTTTTAACACACTAAAATATCCCTTAGCTGCTTTCTTGAATAATTATTTATTGCAAAGGCAGATGTTTAAATTAAAAGATACCAAATCAAAGTCTCCCCTGTGATTGTGTCTTCATTTTAACTACAAGAATTTAAAATTTCAATAATTATGTACCATGGTTTCCAAGCCGAGTCACTCAAAACATAATTTTAATAACAAAGACTACCCTAGCTGCACAAATAAAGCTAGCTAATTATTAGTTGCCATCTTCAATATTTAACCATCATGATGATAACCTGAAGTCCTCTGTAATCATAAGTCAATCGCACTGTTACCTACCCACTCCTAATGTTCCCACCACTATTCCAACTACCTGTGCATCTTTGGCTCTTTGTATCATGTAATATCTGTGGACACGAGACAATAAAATATAGGATTTCTTGATGGACAGTGAAAGCATATGTAAGAACAGTTTCATTTAAGCTCAAATGCTATCCCAATGAATCTTTTGAAAGCCAGAATTTATCATTTACCTTTTCATTAGTGCTTTATTCACATTCAGAGTCTCTTTTCGGCCAATATTGGTGCAAGGATCATATGAATAGAACTATCAGAGGAAAGAGTGGTTCTTATATTAATACTGAAGAGGAACTTGACTCAGCATAGAGTTTACTGTATCACAAGTAATTGATGATTTTGGGGGCTGAGGTGGAAGGGAGGGGAAGATAACTTGATCGTCAAAGTTGATAATGGTAATTGTAGTAAGAAAGTCACAAGATCAATAAAATCCTTTAGGGATTCAGGATCCATAGTCTTTTACATTTAAGACAGGGGAGTATATCAGCTGAATATTCAGTGAGACTTTTCTAGAGTCTCTTTCCCCAGGAGTGCTGGCCAGAGTGTAAAGAGAAATGTAAGGCTAGACTCTCATTTCAGCTGTTTACTCCTCTCCTTGATCCTCTGAGAAGGATTAGAGAAGTTCAAGTAGGAGTGTAGACTCATGTCCCAAACAGTGGTTGGCAGTTTACCCCAATGAGAGAATGAGCCAGCAAATTCTGATGGGAGGGAAGGCTGTGATAGACAGTTTCTCCTATGTAGCCTTTGTTTCCATAAATTCATTGTAAATGATACCTGACATTTGTTGTAAGTCATCATCAAATTCTGCAAACACAAACTTTCACCACCAATGTAAAATACAGCAAAGTCCCCCAACTGTGTATCAGCAGGAAGACTAAATTCACGTCCAAACCTGAAAATGGAAAAAAATTAAATTAGCCCCAACCATGCTTGACAATACTACAGTTACGAATGTCAATGTAGAGCAGGGTTGTTCCCAGACAAAATTCAGGGTCATCGGTAACAGCAACAAACTGATTTATTTCCATGTAGTTGACTTCTTGACTTTACAGCACTAAGCTTCTTCACACTTCTCTCTTTTGAACAAAACTATCGCTCTTATATACATAAAGTCCAAGGATCTAGAAACTTCTCTAAAGAACTAAATTTAGTAGTACAGCTCCTTTGTGTTCAGTCGCAACTAGACTGACTGAACACAAATGAGCGCTGAGGAAAGGCTGCCAATGTCAACAATCACATTGCTGGACATCACCAACTTACGAACCGCACTATTGACTGGGACTCTGTGCAATGCCTAACCTACAGCACTAACTACTTTCAATGACTGACCCTGGAAAGCTGGTTTACTAACTTGGAACAGACTCCCCTAAACAGGTGTCAACCACTACCAGCACCATACAAACGACTCATCCACAACATTAACATTACAAACGAACCGAACAGAACAACCTGACTTCACTAATGGATCCAGACCGACCAATCACAACTGACCTACGCCACTTGAATTTTACAGCCAATAACATCACAGCAAAACTGACCAATCAGTGTACACAAACTGGACTAAGTACATTCAACTGACAACAACCTTTCAATGGACTCTGATGATGACTTTCGCTCAGGTTGTCGAAACGTCAGTCACCACTACTGACAACAGTCCTTCTCAGGACTACACTCACCCGAACGATCAAACTACACTATTACATAAATTTAGTAGGTTAACATGGTTTCTAAACTTGAATAATTACATAAGAAATAGAATGTTCGAGAATGTTCTCATACCAGAAGGTCACATCTGGATGACTTCTGGTTCTAGACTGTTCTATAGAATGTTCTAGGACTTAACTTAGACAATTCTTTGTAACAACTACAGTAGAGGACTCTTTATTTCTACAATAGAGGTCTTTCAACCAGATATGTTTTTCATGACTGTGGACTGAAAGCTTTATCTTAAAGAAAAGTTGAAACCAGAAGCATGTCCTGGGGCAAATACAGAAAGAATTCTCATATATTCTTGAATTTCGCAGTGGAAGTTTATCTTTCTGTGTCAAAGTCCTTCTGGGAAAGTTTTCCTTCTGGCGAGTCATCCCTTTTAACTCACCTACAAAAATAACCATTTTTATCATGCTGGACATTCCCATGTTCTTCAAGTGAAGTCATTTCAACATCTGTTTGCAAAGGTTCAGCTGATAATGGTGTTTCTTCCATTGTTTTGCCTTGGGAATTGAACTCATCAGCAGTTTGCTTATTACCTTGAGATAGTTCCCCCTTCTTGATCAAATGTGGAGCAGATGAGCTTTGTGAATACCACATTAGGGTAATTCCTTTTGATAGAATTCTGCAATTCTTCTAATAAATTAAACAGGAAAAAACCCCAGCCATAAGCCTATAGTATCACCTAAATCCCTTAACTCCCAGAACCTGAGAGCAAATTCTTCCAAAAGATGACAACATGACATGGTGTGTAGACTTATAAACTAGACTCTAAATTTACCACATATTTACAAACATACTTTATTGGCTCATCCCTATGGGGCTTTTCAGAGTCAATGTTACATTACAAACATAAAGTGCTTGAAAATCTAAACTGGCAGGAGGTAGACCAGTTAGCTATTTACACAGTGCGGCTGAAGAGTTGAACTCAGGGCAATCAAGAACAAATCCAGTGAGTAGCAGGGTGGATGGTTTAAGTCCTGGACCACCAGATTACAAGTCCAGCACCCTGATCACTTGGCCACACTACATCCATTTGGTGATGCTGTTTCCACACAATATTTCAGGTGATGATCATACATTTTCCTTACCCATACAATGACTGTACACCACATCACAAAACACAATCACTTTGACTTCAGTGTCTGGAAATAATTGTCCAAATTGTTCCAAGCAACTCTGACCATTGATTGGCCATTTACCAAAAACATGCAACACAGGAAGTCGCCGAGTCCTGTTCACAGACACAAAATGAACCATTAATTTCTTTCGCTTCTGAGAATTTTTGTTGGAGATGGAATGCTTCTTTCAAGGGGGGCTACTTAAGCTTTTAAATCAGGCCAAACAAAAGTTTTTCATAATATTCTTTTAACACCTCAAATACATAATTATTTAAATCTTGCTATATTTTATTTAGAATATTTGTCACAACAACAAGCCCCATGTCACTGAAAACAAACAACAACTTAATTAAAAAAAAGGCAACTTAAGTCAGTGTGCTAGCCATCAAGTTACTATACATTTCAGCCACTATAGTAGGATAATTTCAGGTTATGCACCTAGCAGTTTTATTTCATTTACTTACTGGCTTAAACAAGCTCTGCCATAATGAATGATAAGATCTGCCTCAATGTGTTCTGCAGCAACTTCATCAACACAGCAACTAAAGCCAAAAACAAATAATCAAATAATTACTGTGCAAAGGCATAAAATATTCTTAGCACAGTATGCATGAAAAAAATAAGTGACTTTTTTTCTGTTTTTCTTGCTGAACTATTCAATTCCCAAGATCCAATTTTTAGTTTCTTTTCTACATGTTAAAAATTTTGTTATAAATTAGGCAAGGGAAGCTTAAGGTCTCATTCATTGTCACTATCTGGCTTACACTTGTTAACAAGCTTACAGTTCTTCTGTTGTCTGCACACCATACTCTTTTACACTAAGCTTCCTGTGGAAGATTGCACAGTTGGTATATCCCAAAGTAATCATCTCGTGATGTGAAGTAATTGGCAACAAGGATGCAAACATGTGGGACAAATCTATCTGAAATTACTTTAAAAACCTGTGGGAAACTAATGATTATACATCACTGTTTGTCATCCAGTCTATCCTCCAGTTTGTTACTACAACAAGAGGACAAAGTTGAGGTATACAAAGCAACTAATTTACCTTCCATATGAGGTATCAGCTAACACAAACACTTTCTTTCCAGTGAACTTTTCAATCAATGAAGAAACAGCAGCTGAATCGGTTAACAGTGAGTCTGGAAACTGGAGTGCAATCTGAAAACATGAAATTCTGTGTATTGTACACTGAGTTTTTTCTGTAATATGGCATGTGCATCTTAGCTTGTAATATGATGTGCAACAATTGCAATAATAATAAAAATGAAAATAATAACAATAATTATGATGATGATGATGATAATGATGATGACAATGTTAAAAATTTACTTGTAAATTGAACCAGATGATGAAAATTGAGGAAAACACATGAAATAAAATAAAAATATGTCCATGGCCAGTTTCTTGCAGCAAACTCTCAAAAAAAAAAACAACGGATCAAAAGGGGGAGGAACTAAATCAGACTGACTCCTGACAGCGAATATCATTATTGTGATCAAATTGTTTTAACTTCTTGTTGATGTAATTTTCAGACACGACTTGGAAAGTACTAAGATCAACAAGAGATCATCATTTACTCAGCTGAGAATGTTCGTTAAAAAGAGTCAACGAAAAAAATAAAAATGGAAAAAAAAAATAAATGAAGAAGTGAGCAAGGGCGTGTTAACTTAATTTGTTTGGGACACAAACACGCAAGTGGCCTCAGACCTGAGAAAGAGACTTACCTTTTGAAAGCCAAGACTCTTTATAACATCCGTGCACCTCGAAATTTCATAAAATTCTTCTTTGTTATTTTTACTACAAACAGTATCATTAGTAACATTTACTGTCCTTTCTATGACTTCTTTTTCACCACCACTAAATTGTAGCGCAGATAAACTAGCTGAGTCCGCCATTTTGGTTTTAGTCTATTACACCACGCACCTATCATTTTGGAAAACATACCACTGACCTAATCTGAATCAGACGGCCATATCGAAGGTCGCCTAGTTTCGCCTAGTTTTAGGTAGCGTACCATAGGTAGCATTTTTCACAACACATTGGACATGCAACCATGCAATGATTTGTCAATCGAGCACACGACTTGAAACCAATTTTCACAAGATTCTTTAAAAATACGGCATTCTTCTTTAATGTAATCAGGTTTCTTAGCAAGTCACGCGATCCCATGAGAAGAGCGCGACTTTATCACCAAAGGCACAATTACTGAGAATTGTTTTTCAAAAGTCTTCAGGTTTCAATTTTTAAGAGGCACTTGTCACGCTTTCTCATGTTCACGTGTAACGTATTGTTATCTTATCTCAGCAGGCGACTGTTCTTAAAAAAAAATTTTGCATGACTTTCTGTTTGAATTTCGAATTGTTAACTAAAAGTCACGGAAGAATCGTTAGACTTTAAAGAAAATCAACAAACTTTTCTAGCTTTGACATATCAGGCAAGCATTGCTTGTAATAAAGAAGCTCTTGTGTGTGCTCTAATTGTTTTGAACTCGATGTTTCAGTGATCTTTTACTTGAGTAGAGCAAAAACAAAAAAAACAAAAACAAATCGTTCCGTTCCAGATAGAGCTCAAATTAACGGAAAATCATGCATGATTCGAAATGGTATAGAACCGATCAAGAAATGTTGCACGTAACCAAGAGGGTTGGAAATGGAAAATCACAAAACAATTTCGAGCAAAAGAATTCTAAAAAATCGTGAGTCGCTCGAGTTCTTAAGCTGTCTTGAAAATACTCTTTCTCATTACCTTTAAAACGAAAGGAAACTTGATGATAAAATTGCTCGATCAGACAGCTTTATGCCAAGCAAATGAAGTGCACCTGAGATCCTCTCGCTGTCTGTTGACAGTAAATGGGTAGAACGCGGACCCTGATCTAATCAGTGATCCTTGACAACACGAGATCACAAGATCCTCTATGAATTTTGAAGTTTTGTGTCAAGAGCTTTGTCGTTCTCATCTTCTACAGACTTTTTTAGGTTAAATCAAAAAGTTAAAGCTCTTATTCCCGGATTTTTCCTAATATTTCCCTCAATTAACCTCGTGTTTGCTGCAAAAAAATTACGACTCTTCAAATAAATGAAGAAGGGGGCTGTTCGTAAAAGACAAGAAAAGAGCGGAACTATGCGAAGAACTTAAGCATGTCAACGCTTACACAGACAGAATTTTGAAGTAGTGCATAAATCATCATTCTCGAATGGTAATGAAAATCATTCATCGCGAAAACTCATGTTGCGAGACAATTTGCAAAAATTTGCAAGTCATTCCTGAGTTTCAGTCCATTGTGTTCTCGCCTTCTTCTTATCAGAGCAACGCCGATTTCCCGACTAACTCTTCCTCCTCCCCCTAAATTGACCACATTTTTCGAAGGGGTTAAGTGCAGGTTGGGCAAGTGTCCCCTTTCACTCCCACTTTGAAACTGATCGCAGGGAGTGAAAATAACAGAGTGAGCACAACAATTCGCGACAGCTGAGATTTTGAGGTTTAATATTTATTTGACAGGAGCCCAAGTGATGGGCTCCTGTTGTGACAATGAT